CCCCTATTCTGCAACAGAAGCAATGCAAAGTTATCTGAAAGGACCTTGTTTTTTTTTAAAAGGGATATGTAGATGTTTCTATAAGTTGTAGCAATGATCTCAGAGATGTCTTCACTTAGGCTGGATCAACATTGCCAATTAATGCAGTTTTAACTGCATTATATAGTCAGTGTAGATACATATATCACTGCTTTATATGGGTCTATACTGACTATTTAATGAAGTTCAAACTGCATTATTTGGGAATTGATCCAGTCTCAGTCCAGCTTTTTTTGTTGGGTACAGGTGAGTATTGTTTATCTGGAATTCTGAAATACTCTAAAATTGCCCACACAGGTGGCTGAGCTCCTGAGACCTTTGCTTCCTGATGATTCAATGTACACAAACTTTGTGTCATACATAAAATTATTATGAATATTATGTATAAAACTATCTTCAGACTATGTGTATGGAGTATATATGGGACATAAATGAATTTTATAGACTTGGGTCCCATCTTCAAGCTATCTAATGATGTGCATACAGTGTTCTCTCACTACTTTGTGGTTTGCTTTATGTGGACTCGCTGTTTTGCAGTTTAAAAAAATATTTAAATTCATAAATACAGTAATTACTCAGTGTTCTCTCACTACTTTGTGGTTTGCTTTATGTGGACTCGCTGTTTTGCAGTTTAAAAAAATATTTACATTACAACGGGCCTTAGAAAGGGAGGCTGGTGCGCAGCCCCTTCGCATACCATCACTATTTTTTGCTCATTCCTTAATGTATAAATAATGTATAAATATTACAATTAATTTAATATTTAATGTATAAATAACATATAAATATTAAAATTAATATAGCATCCCTACTTTGTGGATTTTCATTTATTGCAGGTGGTCCTGGAACGTAATCCCTGTGATAAGTGAAGGAACACTATATATGCAAACACAGGTGTTTCAAAGTCTTAAAAAATCTGAAATCTAAAACATTTCCTGTCCTGAGCATTTTGGTTAGGGAATGCTCAACTTGTATGTTTATTGCATTACTGTATATTTAGTGTCTGTCTTAATAATTGTACACTCTAATGGTCTCTCCAGAGGTAGGTTGGACACTGTTTTTTTTTGTAAATGGCCAGTCTTCTTTTTCTTCAGCATTTGTCCCCCTTGGTGGCGGGGTCTGCTTTACCAGTTTGTTGGTGCCATTTCACTCCATTGTGCGCCTGATCGTAAATGGCCAATGATTCTGGAAAATCCAACTGGAATGTTGCTGCCAATTACAGAATCAAAAGCTAGAGGAGTAAGCAATCTACAAGGATAGAGTTTGTGGACTGAATAGCACTTTTCCCTCTATACCATGCTTCTCTACCTTTCACCCAACCACATGCTAAACCATTTACCCAAGTGATAGCACAGAGCAGAGGTGTAGGCCCAGTATCTAGAGTGCTTGATTCCCTGAAGGTTTGTGATAATATGATCCACAGGTTCCTCATTGGAGCACTAAAGGAAACTGCTATATTATTGCTCTGTGCTGCTTCTGGCACTGTGGGGAGTATGCTCTCCACATAAAAATGGGGTTGTGGGAAAACCATAGAAGAATCCTGCAAGGAATTGCAGGTGAAATGGAGATGCTCTTCTTCACTCTCTTGCTCTCCATGTGATAAGACAAGTGATGAAACAAATACAATGAGTTGATTCCCTCTCCTTGCATGTTTACCTTACCTGTTGTTAGGCAATCTGTTGGCATGGCACCACTAAAAAGCATCAACAATTTTCTAGAGACAGAAAAGGGAGTATCGGGGAGGATGCTTACAATCCTGTCTTTTGTGCTAGCTCATACCTGGAATAGGTGTTTGCTAATTTTGAATCATTATTTGTTATGTGGATCTCATCCATAGCGTGGGTTAGCTGGGTACAAGTTCAGAGAGAGGAAGGCCAAGACTGCAGGCATTGCTGGGGAGAATTATATCCTGTTCCCTGGCAACTTACGTTGGCTGTTGTGGGAATTACTCTTACTTCACAACAGAGAAACAAGTTGTTGGTGAAAGAGTGAAGAATACTCATTGAGCACCTTAACAATAATGTTTATAACACCAAAGAAGGCATTTTAAAATATTTTGGATTTCATACTTGTCATTGAGTTATTACTTCCAATTTCATCACAGTTGATGAGAAATTTTCTTGCTTTTGTGTGTTTGTGAGTAGTCATTGCTAAATATCAATGAATGCCATATTTTGTTTTTCACCCTGGGAAATATACGTTTAGAAGTAACATCAACGTTGGCACAAAAATGGAATCGAGATGGGATCTAATCAGTAGCTTATGTCACATGAAAAGGGCTTTCTGCGATCTGACTGGAAATTAGTTATATATGCTTATATATACATGTGTAGAAAAATAAGTACTTCCCATTAAATTGCAGGCTGTTCAGTTATGACAATACTCATATCCATACTGTAAAAAGCACTCTTTGATGATATCTGCAGATCATATCTATGTTGAAGGCACAAGAGAAGGATTGGCCTTTACTTCCAAGTTGACAACCCTAATCACTCACTCATCACTTATTGAGTGATTCTTGGCCCTCCCTAATGGTTTAAAACTGTTGGCAACAACTGCCCATTTTACATTAGCAAAATAAAAAAAAACCTAACAACAACAAAAAAGTTGCACTAATCTAACGAGGAGGTACATCCAAAATCAATTTTCAGCCAATCTGCACGGATGAATCAACACATTATGATTCAGTTTTGGGATTGAACATTTCACTTCAATTTGGTTTTTTGAGGCCGCAGCTCCTTTTGCCCATCCTAACCCAATTGTGAAGAGTCAGTTCAATGCCTTTACTACATAAACGAAGAGATCATCTACACTGCCAAATTATAGCAGCTTGACATCACTTTAACTATCATTGACCCATCCTATGGTATCCTGGGATTTGTAATTTGCTGCAGCACCAGAGTTCTCTGACAGAGAAGGGTAAGTGCCTTGCAAAACCACACATCCCCCAATTCTGCAGCATTTAGTTTTGGCATTTCTTCTACAGTGTAGATGCGCCCCAACTCAGTCCCTTCAATTTTCTAGTTAATGGAGAATTCAGAAGATCCTCTGAAATTCTATCATGCTCAGCAATGTTCTTTTCAATGCCAAAGGGAATTAATTAAAAATATGGCAACATCTGAATGAGCAGCATTTACAGGTGTGGCCTGTATTTGTTTACAACGTGTCATTAAGAATAACAATTACATCCTGTTTAATTACTGCTCAGGGCATTCCAAATGTAATCCAGTTATGATCAGGGTTGTGTGTGTTTTGGATAAGTATTTTTTTCCATGTTTTGCTTTTGTGAAAAGACCTGCAAAATATCAGGTGTTTCTAAACTACCTTGTTGTTTGCCTGGAGAACGGAAATACTTAAAGCATCCTCTGTATCAGATGTGCCTGAGCTAGAAAGCCATTCAGCAAAAGCTATGACATTGTAATCACTCTGACTGTTAGGCTCTCTAGTTGAGCTTGCAATTTCACTCTTGAATGTGCTCAGTAGCATGTGACTGATAGGATAGAATCATAGAGTCATAGAATCATTGAGTTGGAAGAGACCTTGTGGGCCATGCAGTCCAACTCCTTGCCAAGAAGCAGGAAAATTACATTCAATATAACCATTTAACTTGTAAACCAGGTATGTACTGTCATGCTCTATGTGCAGTGGTTCTCAACCTGTGGGTCGCCAGGTGTTTTGGCCTACAACTCCCAGATATCCCAGCCAGTTTACCAGCTGTTGGGATTTCTGGGAGTTGAAGGCCAATACATCTGGGGACCCACAGGTTGAGAACCACTGGCTTAGAGTGACATTACTACAGTTGTTAGTAATCTGGTGCATATGATACTTTGGAGAATAACATAATCATAAGATAAGCCAACATGGGTTATTTGTGTTTGGTTCAGGCTCCCCATAATATGTTTAATTCACACACCTACATTGTAATATAGGTAGGATCATCACCAGAACATCCAGTAACTTTCCTCAAGACTTTGCCAGAAGAGCAATTATAGCACGACCCCTTTGCCCGTGAATTTGATATCCATTGTTTCAACTTACCCATGCTCCAAAAACTCTACCTCCCCCACCCAGAAGTATTTGTGAGTCTCTAGATCTTCTAGCACAATTCTATGCTATGCTTCCAGCCGTTATATAGTCAAAATATAGGATATAGGATGGTTTCTGATATCTGCAGGGAATCTTGGAATGTATTCCCTGTGGATGTGGGGGTCACACTATTTTATCATGGGTTTCACTATCTTTGATGTTTGTAATATCCGACGTTCAAGTGGTGCTTTAGGTAAAGACAACCTGGCAAAACCTAAAAGAATCCCACACCTTGTGTGACTGTGGAGCAGAACAGACAATTCCGCATCTGTCTGCTTGTCCACTATGACCCCGTCTCATGTACAGAGGAAGAATTGTTGGAGGCTACAGACAATGCCATTGCTGTTGCCCATTTTTGGTCAAAAGGTATTTAGCCGCCTGTGCTCCTTCTATTTTATCAGTTTTATACTAATTTATGCAATGCTTTTGATACAAAATAAATAAATAAATTTAGATAAACATTTGCTAATCTTTACCATAATAGTATAAAGGCAGATTTATCCTGTTCTAGCCCTATTCGGCGTTCCATGCAGTCATGCCGGCCACATGACCTTGGAGGTGTCTACGGACAACGCTGGCTCTTCAACTTAGAAATGGAGATGAGCACCACACCCCAGAGTCAGACATGACTGGACTTAATGTCAGGGGACTACCTTTACCTTTACCTTAGCCCTATTCTAAAGAGGAGTAGGAATTACAAAAGGAGGCTTTGTAAGAGTTCAAAAGTTGTTGTGGGCTGAAGTAGAGTTGCTGTTGTGAAGGGCACAAGTTCAAAGGTTCCCATTTTTGACTAAGCCTGTTAAAGAAATGTTTAGTCAGAGAAATAAGGAAGTAACTATCAAGTGTTGACGGAGGATAAAGCAAAACAGATTGCATTATGGGTACTAAATGGGGTGCAACTTTATTTACAATGTAAAGTGCATCACACAAAAGTTGTTGAAACACATGGCAAGCAGTGACAAAAATGACAATACATTAATTGAATGTAAAAGTTGATTTTAAAAGAAGTTATTTTTCTTCCTTTGAGGATTTTAATACTACAAACAGCCATCTAATTTTACCACCCAGCCTTTTACCACTGGGTATCCAACACTGTGCCAGCAGTGATCTCTCTTGAAGGTTTTTTCTGAGGCAGCTTTTGAACCCTGACTGTACACCATGTAAATTGGAACATGTTTAAACTTTTAGTATAGCAGGTTTTAAAAAAATCCCCTTGGATGCTTGATCACAGTGGAAATATGGGAATTTGAGAAACTATTATGAGAAACATATTTGTGATCATTTAGAAAATTAACACTTGGCAATGTTTTTTATTGATCGATCTTCTAGCTCAATGTGAATTAGGTGGCACACAGCAGTGCATTATGTTATGGAACTATTTCTTACTGCTCTAAGCAACAGGAAAAACAAATCTGAAAGAAATTTTGATGCAAGCTTGTGTGAGAGTATAACGTGGATTATTTACTAAATATTGTAAAAGTAATGGGACAATTTATTAATTTTGTTTTGGTGAATGACAACTATGTCCTCTCATTTTAATTTTAAAAAATAGCAGCCCCCGGTATCTGCAATATTTTGATAATTTTGTGCACATTGGGCACACTGATTAACCAGAAAACAAATATGCCATTATCTTAGATACCCATGTCGGCAAATCTGGATTTTGGAATTCCAGATAAGGAATGCTCAAACTTTATATTATTCTTACTATTTCTCAGAGCATGTAGAGATTTGAAAATGGGACACTATGTAACTCTGCACAATTAAAAAAAAAGAGAGAAATGTACAGGCAGATTCATGATCTGAAATTTTTAAATATGTAACCTACACAATTGCACTACAGCTTCTACAAACTGCCCATAAACTCATAATGTATGAAGCCACGATTTCCATCCAGTATTGCCAAAACTAAGAAAAAACAGGTGTAGTTGCAAAAGCCTGCTACCCAGGGGCAAAGATATTTATGTTTGTGTATCTCTATTTACATTGTGTTATTATGTTGCTATGAGTCTTAATAGCAAATGCTAATGATGGGAGGAAGTTTGCTGTATAAAAGCTAATGTTGCAGAAAATGTAACCTGAAACTAGGAAGTGTGCAGGAATACACTTTCTCAGTTGCATCATCATATGGGTCACAGTAGAAACCTAGAAAGTCATGTTGTGTCTACCTACGCATTCATGGAGTAACCCACAATCCTGTCTGAACCACAAAATAAAACAATCAGGGAGGGTAAAAAAACACTGGGGTGGTCTAGCTTCTTTAACATAATTCAGGAAGGAAAGGGTCTCAGTTACAGAGAAAATATCTGGTGTGGAAACATAATTGTAACAAATAAAATGTTGAAACATAAAGTATGTTCCCCAGGAACCTTTTTTTTTCTGGCTACAAGTACCAAACAGCATTTTTTCCATTTTGTTTGGTCCTGGTAAATTTGCAATGGCTAAATAATCCTAGTTATGCTTTCTGATAATGTCTGTTATGACATTTAATCATAACTCAGTTGTCTTATTCGGGATCACTTAATCGGAAATGGGACATAATGATGTAACTTTTTTTCAGAAATAAATATGCTGTGGCACTTAAGAGAATTGTAACTTTTTAAAATCTAAGACAACTGACTATTAGTGACCAGCTTTGAACAGAAATATGATCATGTCTCTTTTACTAGGATCATGGGTAAGAAATGTACTGTATAAATAAAGTATCAATAATAGTTAAACAAAGCTCCCAATTTCCACTTGATTAACTTATTTCATCTTGAACTACTTGTAAATAACAGCCAAACACCAAATGAACACGTGTGTGTTAAATATGTGACCAATAGATCTATAGTAAAAAAAAAAAGGAATTCAATGTATGTCAGCCCCATAAAAAAAAAAGATCAGAATTAAAACAAAACAGAACATGAAGGGTACTTGGGAGACCCCTTAGACCCCACATTTGTATTATTCAAAGTGAGCTGCTCTGTATATGAGGGTCCCAGGTTGTCAAATCATTATATCCCATGCATATGTGCATCCTACGGCATACTTAAAGAAAAGGCTATAGGCCCACTACTGATTGCAATTAGTCCAAGTTCTGAAATAATTCAATGGGACTCTGGACTTCATCTTTCAAACACTGACCTTTCAAGCTATGTGAAAAACCATGAAAATTGAGGTGAGCTGGAGGTGGTTTGTAATGACATGGGTGTTTGTGGACCTGTTGTTGGTTTTTCAAGAAACCATAAATGTCACGAAGTGTCTGCAAACCTTTCACCATACCTAAAACAGATTTCCAGACCAATTTATTTAAATTTTCCATCAGACTCCTATAACTAAATATTTCATCCTCTACAACTCATGATAAATTTGCAAAAGGTGATAAGAACAAAACCAAATTTAACAGGGTCATCACTTATGTGTCTATTTACATATAAAATCTGGGTGGGAGCTTTTCATCTCTCCACTGATTCACTCAAATTCAAAGAGAACTGGGAAAAGAGGCTCAAGTCATTGACTGTAAAAAGATAATGCCTGGATAACACCTCATTCTCTTTTTACATACTTGCAATATGAATGCGGATGAAAATAACAATAAAAGAAATACACATTTGCTACCCTCAAGTCAAGTTTGGTCCTAAAATTTCTTATCTGTATGGCGATAAAGCCAACAAATGATCAGGGATTTGCAACAATAGCAACAGAAGACTGCAAATTCTTTCTGTGGGCCTTAGTTGTACCTTTGTGTATTGACAGCAGCATAAATGCTATAATTCTACATGTGAAAAAGTGGCTCCTCTCAAAATAAAAATATAAGAAAATATCATACAAAATAATTAAAAACATTTTAAAAACCTCAGATAGTTTAACAAACCCTCCCCCGATTTGACCTTACAGGGCCTGAAGTACCAAGGCCTGCTGGATCAGAATAAGAATGTTCATAGTAGTTGCTCTGAAGTTAAAAGTGGTGGAATCCAGTTTTCCTTTTCCTAGATTAGCACACAGAAACACAAAGAAGAGTGAAGGCCATTAAATATATATTAGGGTACACTGTATTGCGAAAACCGATACCCTGATTCAGCCAAAGCCACACGGTCTCAGACACAGGTTTATGTACATTCATACAATCTTTCACACAAATACTGTATATACTTGAGTATAAACCTCTGCTTATTCTCAAGTCAAAGTTATTTATTATTTTACTAAGTTATTATTATTATTTTATTACATTTATTATTTTACTCTATTATTATTATTATTATTATTATTACATTTACATTACTTTATTACTATTTTATTACACTTATTATCTTACTCTATTTATTATTATTGCATTTATTATTTTTCTCTATTATTGTGATTATAACATTTGTTATTTCACATTATTTATTATTATATTTATTATTTTACTCTATTATTACTGTTATTATTACATTTTCATTATTTTACTCTATTATTATTTTTATTACATTTATTATTTTACTCTATTATTATTGGAAGGATACATAAGCACATTTACATTGAAGAAGGTTAGAATAAAGGTTTCCAATCCAATAAGCCTTTATTGGCATTTAGAATAAGGGTTTAATCAGAGTTGGACACTCTTACCTTATCTTAAATTACTGTTTTATGTAAATATTTAGAAATATTTAAGGTATTGATGCCTCATTAATGTAATTTTATTGGTATTTATTTTTGTTTTGAAATTTACCAGTAGTTGCTGCATTTCCCACCCTCGGCTTATACTCGAGTCAATACGTTTTCCCAGTTTTTTGTGGTAAAATTAGGTGCCTCGGCTTATATTCGAGTCGACGTATACTCGAGTATATATGGGAAGTGCACACTCTTTTAGGTATTAAGAAGGGAAATCCATTCAGCATGCATATCCCATATTATGTCATTTTCAATTAGGTGTATAGAGAATAATAATAGGTTTTCCTGCCTTCAATGTGAAATACTGTTCCAACAGTGTGTAGCCCCTTTAGAGAAAATAACAAACTGCTGCAGGAGATTTTCATTTTGGGAGCTTTTTACAACCAACCAATAAGTGGCAGTTACATCCAGATTTCTTTGCTGTCCAAAGCAGAGATGCCATTGCTGATAATCTGAATACAGTTGCAGTTTGGCACACTTTTAGTGTCCTTGCTCAATGCTATGGAATCCTAGGATTTGTAGTTTGGTGAGGCACTAGCATTCTTTGGCAGAGGAGGCTAAACACCTTGTAAAGCTACAATTCCCACAGTTCCCTAGCATCAGTTATGGCAGTTATAATGGCGCCAAACTGCATTAATTCTACAGTGAAGATGTACCATGGGTCTCAGCACAGTGAGCCACACAGACCACTGCAAACACAAAAACCAGACTAAGGCAATCATATATTAATATATTATCTCCCTCAGAGAGTTAGGGTGGGTTACAAATAAAGTTATTATTATTATTACTACTACTACTACTACTACTACTACTATTATTATTATTAATGCCAAATAGGTTAAGATGGAAATGTCCTGAATTAGGCTGCTTTGTCTCTCTACTTGATGGTGCCCCCAAAGACTCTCTATAAAACTAGCATTCTGGGACATTCTGGGACACTCAAGCTGGGAAGCTGAATAAGAGGCTCAAAAGGCAAGCAGGGAGTTTCTTTGAACAGAGATTTTAAAAGAAAACAGATACTATCAGACACTTAAAACAGATTTAGCTGTTTCGCAGTCTTTCTCGAAAGGTCACAGTGGTGCCTAAGCATGACCACTATTTTTTTATTCACAATTTAGATCAAATTATTTCCTCTTAGATCTTAAAACCATGATATAAGAAGCCTCTTCACTTACCTCGAACAGTCGTGCCCAGTCCATGGTGAAGTGCAATGGCACCGATTGGGTCGAACACATTTCCCACCATTCAAGCATGGCGACTGACAGACAGCTGTATCAGAAAAGCATGTTATTGATTGTTTTTAGGTTATGGCATGTTCTCCACAATTATTAGAATTGTTTCCACTGAATACAATGTGACTGAATTATCAATTGGATTTTACTACATGACCATAATGATGCAACAGAGGGCTCATTTTTTAAATTATGGAAACCAGAGAACTGGCCTGGTGTAGGGATTTGAGTATTATTGCAGTGCCCTCCTTCCAAAGGAAACCAAATGTGGTCCCCCACCCCTGCCATAGCTTCACAGCAATCATGTTCACACAGGAAATGCTTTCAGCTTTACTAAATGCTGCTACATGCTTAAAGAGTCTCACCTTGGTGGCAGCGTGATCCAGTCCACCCAACTGGGCAATCACACTGATAAGGAGCCACACAGCGACCTCCATTAAGGCAATGTAGAATGCAGATTGCTAAAAAGGCAAGGAACAAATAAAAGGGCTACTGATTGAAAGCATTAACATCATTTACTATGAGAAGGATTGTTAAAACAATAACAGTACTATAACGGTAAAGCAAACTTAAAGCTTTGCTGTGTTTCTTGTGGGCTGCTATATACAGACACACACAATCACAGAATGACTGTGTAAAGTGAGCTAGAGTGGAAAGATAAATATAAAAAAATCCTCGCGATCTAAAAGTGCTTTTCCAAAATATGCCACAGTAAAGTGAATAAACAAAATGAATTTGTTCACAGATGGGAAGCATGTGATGGATGATTCACACGAGCAGATTTACTAGCTTGTGACAAATGTGTTTCTTAGTAAATTCCTGCTCACTTTCAGCCACAGTATCCAATAGTAGCACAGATCTATGAATGCTTTTGGCATAGCTAGGACTCAGCAAGGATCAATTTCTGGCACGTCACTACAAATGCCAGGAAGGCAATCAATCAAACACAATCTCACTTGCACACAAGTTTTTTGGGGGAAACAAGTAAAGGTTAAACAAGATTTTTTAAAAAAGGTTAAACAACATTTTTTAAAATAATAGGCACAGGGACTGACTTATATAAGCAAGCTGTTAACATTTAATCTATCGATAAGGAAGTTTTGATGTGGTACAAGTAAGCTTTGTGTGTAATTAGCCACAATTATAGATTCACTTGAAAAGTACCATATACACTGATGGCACTGTATAAACAAACAACAACAACAATGGGTTGCTGTGAGTTTTCCAGGCTGTATGGCCATGTTCCAGAAGAATTCCCTCCTGACGTTTCACTGACATATATGGCAGGCATCCTCAGAGGTTGAGGGGTCTGTTGGAAACAAGGTCCAGGGTGGAAGAAAGAATGTTTGAGGCAAGACTGAATGTTGCAATTGGCCACCTTGATTAGCATCTAATGGTCTTGCAGTTTCAAAGTCTGGCTGGTTGCTACCTGGAGGAATTGTTTATTGGGTGGTGTTTATCTGGCCCCGATTGATTCTTGTCTCCAATTCCCCTCCTTTTTGAGTGTTCCTCATGATTTACTGTCCTGATTTTAGAGTTTTTAATACAGGTAGCCAGATTTTGTTCATTTTCATGGTTTCCTCCTTTCTGCTGAAATTGTCCACATGCTTGTGGATTTCAGTGGCTTCTCTGTGTAGTCCGACATGATAGTTGTTATAGTGGTCCAGCATTTCTGTGTTCTCAAATAATATACTCCATGCAGGTTGGTTCATCAGGTGCTCTGCCATAGCTGACTTCTTAGGTTGAAGTAGTCTTCAGTGTTTTTCATGTTCCTTGATTTGTTTTTGGGCATTGCTGCATTTGCTGGTCCCTATGTAGACTTGTTCACAGCTGCATGGTATACAGTAGATTCCTGCAGAGGTGAGAGGATCCCTCTTGTCCTTTGCTGGACATAGCATTTGATGGCTTTTTGTAGTGGGTCTGTAGATAGTTTATATGTTGTGTTTCTTCATGAGCTTCCCTATGCGGTCAGTGGTTCCCTTGATGTCTGGTAAGAACACTATTTCTCTGGGTAGATCTTTGTCTTTACTCTCATATCTTGTTCTTCTTTCTCCCACCCTGGACATCCCACAGATAGATAGATAGATAGATAGATAGATAGATAGATAGACAGACAGACACACACATACTTGCCTAGTTTCCAACAGACCTAGTTTCCCAACCTCTGATGATGCCTGCCATAGATGTGGGTGAAACATCAGGAGAATGATTCTGGAACATGGCCATACAGCCCAGAAAACTCACAGCAACTCAGTGATTCCAGCCATGAAAGTCTTCTACAACAACAACCACCCTGTACAATTATTTCATTATTCCATGTTTTCCAATTGCCCCTTCACAATAACTTTCAACATTGGAGGTGTCATGAAATATTAATTGGTGGTATCCTTATCATTAGGCCCCTTAAAAAATGATGGCATTAGGTAAGGCAGCTCTAAGCCTCTCTCCTAGCATGCTACTACCTACCTCCACTTTTCTCCCTAACTAAGGAAGAGCCTTGATGGATTTAGACAGCTGTCTGCTCCTTTGACTATAAAAAAGAGTCAGTATGTGAATTAAAGTGGCAGATTATAATGACTAGGAGCATAAAAACTACCCCCAAGTGTTGAGGTTGAGTTTTAGGATTACTGTCAGAATATGGTAAAGAAATGAACAGTGACATATCAAATGCAGAGCCCGACTCCGCAAGGAGATTTGCATCTGCCTCACCTCTGACTGAACTTTGTAGGCAGAAAGGAAATCAATCCTAGAATGGTGCTTCAGAGGCTCAACAATTTGAAAGAGCAATCCCTGGGATCACCATTACCTGTGTTGCTATCAGTCTGTGGGATGTGTACCTCTTGGGGTCCCTCTTCAGTGGCCCAAATTCATGTGAAACCCACATTTAAAATGCAGATTTCACACAAATTTGGAGGCCACACAGGAGCCCAAAATCTCACCTTTTTCGTGAGGGGGTGGCCAGACTCCCACTTGTGTCTAACCAGAATTGGCAAGGGTGGGCATGACCACCCATCCCCTGCCCTCCCTCAGTCCTCTTTAGGCTGTAAAAAGGAGAGAAATGTCAAGTCAACTTTATTTATATCCTGTCCCATCTCCCCATGGGGACTTAGAGCGGCTTATGGGTCCCTACCGAGGCTAAAGGTGTTTTGTATCTAAATAACGCAATAAGACTTTGAAGAACTGAGAGGGGATTTTCCCATCCAGAACTCGATCACATCATTTAGACACAAATCGGAGCCCACAGAAATCCCCAACCTCAGTAAAGACCCGTTTATTTCCTTTTTACACACAAAATGAGGTCTGGGGAGGGGAGGATGACCCTGCCATCTCACCTCCATGGGCTACCTGGGCCAGTGGAGGCGGAATAGCTGTGGGAACTGCCTCTAGGATCACAGATGGCAATCCCAAGAGGCAGTCTTCACAAGACCCACACATGGGAAGATGTTGACCTTCCTGGAAAGTGTTTTTTACCCCTGAATTTTTTTTATCTGCACTATCCTGAAACATTGTTTGGATGCCTCAGAATAATACACCTCTACACTGCATTATAATTGGGGGCTCACAATAATAATAATAATAATAACAATAATAACAATAATAATAATAATAATAATAATAATAACTTTATTTGTATTCCGCACTATCTCCCTGAGGGGATTCCAGCATAACAACAGCAAACATTCAATGCCTACATAAAACACATGATACTAACATAAAATCCCAGAAAACCCCCACATATAAAAGTAACCTTAAAGCCCAACATCAAATTAAGACCTAACATCAGTAAATTAAACCTGACATCAATAAATTAAACTACATGTAATCAGAAAAAATTCTATAATAACATAAATCTAAACAAAACAGTTTCCACTCTCAGTGGCTTTTAGAAAAACGAGGAAGAAACATCTCTTCAACTTGGTCTTTTAAAGTGAATATTGTGGTTTAATTCACTTCAATGAGTTGCATGATCTGTTCTGAGTATGTCGACTAACATTTTAAATAAATTAAAACATAAAAGATAGAAAAAACAATGTTTCACTGCACTCACTCTGCCATTTGAGGATTAGCATGGCTCCCTTGGATCATAAACTATCCCTGTTGTAATCCAAATACTCTCAGGTTTCATCACCAAAATGCTATCACTGACAAATCTCTGGTACCTGTTCTTTAAAGCATTGTTTCTTAAATCATTGGTCATGGCCCCAAATGGGTCCCCCTTAGCTCCATGTTGGGGTCCCCAAATATTGGCAACAGAAGTTTTCTGAATATCATCTAATTCATAGTGGACTCTGCAGAAGATGCTTCAGCTGTACTTCATAAAAAGGAAAATCAGCTTGTTTAGCAACCCTTGGATATGTAATTTATCATCAGTAGATGTTTGATTTTTATACCTATTTTATATACATACATACCTTGGATCACATAAAAATTTATCAGGCCAAAAGGGGTCTCAAGTAGAAAAGGTTAAGCAGTTCTGCCTTACAGCACTGCTTCTTAAACTGGGTCCCTCTATGTTTTATTTATTTATTTATTTATTTATTTATTTATTTATTTTGCTTATATACCGCTGTTCTCAGCCCGGGGGCGACTCATGTTGGGGTCATAAAAAATTTAGCAACAATAAATGTTTTCTGAACACCAATTAGTGTCTGTTTTAGAGATTTATAAGAATATGTTAGCAACAACATGCAGTATTTATAGAGTCTGTAAAAAAAAATCAGCTGTACTCCACAAAAAGGAAAATTAACCTGTTTAGCAAGTCTTTGCAAATGCTGATTTATTATCAATAAAAGTTTGAAATTTTTTATACATATTTGATATACCTGTATACTTGGAGTCATGTAAAAACTTTGTGGGCAGAAAGAAATTTGAGTGAAAAAAGTTCAAGAAGCCCTAATTTAAATAAGTTCAAAAGCAATTTCCAAACAACTTGATTTTTAGCATCCTTACCTGGAAGCAACTTTAGATGAAATCAATAGGAATTATGTTCATATTAATGTGTTCAAATCTAGATCTTTAAATTCTATTTATGGATATTTAAATAATTACCTTAAAAACACTTTATTGTGTTTCATTAATCCAGAAACTGGCAACTTTGGTGGGATCGGGGAACTAATATTTTGCCCTGAGACAAATGGGCTACTAAAAATGCTCCTTAAGGGAAAAATAGCCAGAAAGTCTATTTCTAGTTTTGGAAACAGTTAATTTTTTCAATAGTAAAACACTGCAAAGGTATGCTGTAACTTTTCAAAAAGGTAAACTGCCACTGCTGGAGGGCTCCTTGGGAGACAAATCATGCATTTGCTGGCAAGAAAAGGGCACTCTACTTAAGGCAGATTGTGGCTACTTCAACAGCCCTGATGCACTTTGCTAATCCTCCACCTTGCTCAATATACATCATGAGTAAAACAAGGACTTACTTTCTTAGAGAGAAAAAAATGTGACACATTGCATTTTCAGAACAACATGAGCAAATGAGCCTTTAAAAATACATCTGACAGTGTGTCATCTCTATTTACCTGTGCATACAACTGCTCCCCTTTCAACTGCCTGCCTATGTTTCTTTCTCTGAAGTGCAAATTTATACTTGCATTTCTAGAAACCCTTTCATTTTGTGTACAGTTAGTAAAATTCTAACAAATGGGGATATGGTGTACCAGATGCTCCTTATGTTTATTTTGTTGCTCTGCATATCTTTGTTGTTCTAAGCTTGCAGTCTAAAGGAGGAGATCTGAATGCATTTTGTTCTAATATTTGCTACTACTGCAGTACCTCTTCAGAACTGAATTGCCACAGGCTCACTAGATGAAATCTAGGAGAAGTCTTCTGCCCCTTTAATAGTTATGTAGAAGACAGGATGGCTGTGGTGTTGGGAGGAGTGCAAGGGGTTGCAGTAGTTGATCTTACAATTGTAGTGCTCCCTCTGTTTATCCTGGAAGCCTGCGCACCACATTTCCTTCCTCCTTGTGCTCTCCTATTCTATCCTCTTCTCTCCACCCACCAGCATTGCCAAGTGTCCTGTATTTTAAGGAACAGTCCCTTATTTCAAGCAAATGTGCTGTGTCCTGTTTTCTTTTTTTTCATGTCTTGTATTTCACACCTTCTAGAAAGCCAACCTTACCAGATACCCTATGTAACAGGCATGGACAAACTTTTTTGCCTTTGGGCTGCATTGCATGCCTGGCTGGGAGAGCTGGGCCAGGAAGGGGGGGGGGGGAACACATGCTGGGCAGGCCAGGCCCAGGAGAGGGCGGAGCCAGGAGGAGGCAGGGGAGGGTCTGGGTCATCCTCAGGTTGTGCTTTCAGCATAAGGACAGGGCTGCTAGCACCATCCTTATGCTGGGAGGAAGGTGGGACATGTGGCAACTGCCCCAATCCTCACCACCTCCCCGATCCTCTGGTTGTCATCTTGGTGCTATGCTGGGAGGAGGGCAAGACAGGCGGTGGCTGAGAGTGCTCAGGAGGGCAGTCTGCTGTCATGTGCCGTCCTTGATCCATCCTCCCGGCATATGGACGGGGCCGCTTGCTCCATCCTTATGCTGGGAGGAGGAGAAGGATGAGACACACAGTGGCTCAGAATGCTCCAGAGGGCTCTCACCTGCTGTGTGCCTTCCTGCCACATCTTTTTGGCATAAGGACGTGGTCGGCTGCCGTGTCCTTATGCCAATAGGACAGGAAAAATTAGGCCTAAGGTAAGAAAACAAGGGGCCACATATGGCCACCGGGCCTTAGTTTGCCCATGCCTGCTATGTACTCATACATTTAGTCAAAAAATCAACACCAAAAATCCTGGATAAACTTACCCAAGGGTCAGTGTAAGTACTGTACCTGAACTCTTATCACAAAAGAAACCATCTCCTTCTCTGAGTGGAGAAAGTCACTCAATTCCAGGAGAAAACATTGACCCCCATGTACTCTCTCCACCACAACAAATGTCTGGCCTTTCTGAATGCCTGGGTAGAAAAATGGCAGTGGTAGCTCAAATCTGTCCTTATAATGAGGCTGATTTATGCACATATGGTAAATAACCCAAATCAATGGCCATTTCTCTTTGCCACATTTTCAGAAAAGGGAAGTGAGATGATTCCCTTCAGTACAGGTGGGTCTTTCAGCTTCTCTTGTCTGAGAACAAGTGAAGAGAACAATTTAGTGGGCATTTGCACCTGAAGCCGAGTCAGCATATGGCGGAAAGGATAGGAAAACAGTCTTTGTTTACAAGTTTTGTTACTGCATCAAGTTTCCTTTGGTTTGTCACCAGTAAAACTGTACATTGCTACTTAGCTTTACTTCAGTGTATCTTTGAATCTAGACAGAGAAGGAATTTAGTAGATGACCCCCCCCCCCCCCCCCCCCCCCCCCCCCGGTGTAATATTTTAACACAATTTGATTCTCTGATCATAATGGATTGTGCAAAGGGAGGGGCAAAGCACTCTCTTTCTTCTGACCTTAGCCAAAATTAGCCATCCAACATGAGGGTAGCATGAATAAAGAATAAGTAAAAAATGTTTTCTTTTGAAAAGCCAGCAGTGTAGAAAGGTCTCTTCTTTCCTCTTTTTCAATCTAACACACTCCACAGCATTGTCATGAGAATAAAAAAGGTCACTCAGAACTCCTTACAGCAGAGCTACTCCAAGTGGTAGTCTCTGGATTAGTGCCCTCAGCCACTGGCTGCCAGTTCCTGGCATGTTTACAGGAAATAAAGAAATAACTGTATCCAATGGACAAAAATGTAATGCCCGTCCCTGTCATACAGGCGAAATAAATGCTGGTCCCTGATATAAGATAACCTGAGGATCTCTCCTCTAGAGGATCAAATGTAACAAGTAAATAAAGACAGCATTGTTATAGAAAGGTACATACGCTCTTCACAGAGACGTCCCATCCATCCCTCAGGGCAGGAACACACATTTGGTCGTTCACATACACCACCATTTTGACACGGGAACCGACAAATAGCTGGGAAAGCGAACAACATCAAGGTATAACATGAGATAGTTAGATTGAGGATTGGACAAATTAAAAACTTGGAAGGATGCAACTATTCTGCTATAAGACTAGTAGATGATATTTATGACTTTGCTGAGATGGATAAATTGGTAGACTTGATGAGGAAAAAGCCATTAAGAAGTTATAATAAGAATTGAGAATTAATAATTTTGACAGAACATTAGTAGGATTTGAATAACAATAGGATCAAATATTATGGTATGCTGACGTCCAGTTAAAGCATATACGTAGCAGATGTAGGATAACTGGATAACGTTAGCTGGGAAATTGGAAGCCATTTATCTGTCCCATTTTTCTGTTATTTTTTTGTTTAAATTGTGGGTGATGTAATATAATTGCATAAGATAGGTTACAGTTGTAGTTATACTGCTAGTATAAGTATTTCTTTGCCGCCTCCCCTATATGTTGTTTTATATTATACCAGCTGTACCCGCCACGCATTGCTGTGGCCAACCTTCCCTTCCTCGTTCTCTTCTTTCTCTCTCTCCTTCCTTCCCTCTTTCCTTCCTTCTTTTCTTTCCTTCCTTCCTTCCTTCCTTCCTTCCTTTCTTCTTTTCTTCTTCCCTTCCTCTCCCCCCACCTTTTCTTTTCCTTCCACTTTCTCCCCGTTCTTCCTTCTCTACCTATTCTTGGACTACAAGACTCTAATCTATCTATCTGGAGGATTGCTGGGAGTTGCAGTCCAGAGATTGGGATGCTCTCAAAGAAACCCAAGGAGAAGAAAGCTTGCAGCTTGGAAGCCATGCATTTGGATCATCCTCCTCTCCTAAAGGGCTTGGTCTACGGGATGCTGGGAGCTGTAGTCTGGAATAGTGTGGATATGCTTTTGTGTGTTTTGTTTGCCAGAGTGAGTCGTTTTGTGCATGTGCTGTAGTGTCTTTTTCCTTTTTTGGCGTTTTAAGTCCCTTCTGTTGTGTTTTTCAGTGTTTTTAGGAGTGATGATCACTCGTTGGCCTAATAGGTGTATTGTGTCCAAATTTCATGTCAGTTCATTCAGTGGTTTTTGACTTATGTTAATCCCACAAATGAACATTAAATTTTTATTTATATAGATAAAATGTATGTGCTGATAAAGATATTTTAAAATCTTCAAAAAAGAACATATTAAAAATCAGTATATAAAAATTATCCTTGGCTATAAGAATAATGTCTGATGAAGTATAGTAACTTATAATGAAGCAGTTAAATTTTTATCTCAGCCATGCAATGTATGTATTGTGTATATATTTTATTCATATCCCACTTTTTTCTTGAATGGGATTTAAAGCAATTTCACTTTGAGTTCACCTTGTTAACAAGAGAAGCTGGTTTCAAAGTAGGAACATTAATCCTGGCTCATTTTACCAGATTATTGTAAAGATAATTGGAATAATGTTTGGGAAGAGTTTAGTGTAAATAAGAAAAGCTGCTCCATAGTTTAGGCCCTGTATTTGATATGCTGAACTAAAACTCAGGTTTCAAATCACTATCCAGCCATGGAAACCCATTGGGGAACACTGATTAAGTAACACTCTCTCAACATGAGAGGAGGGTAGTGGCAAACTGCCTTCAAAAAACTCTAGCCAACAAAATATTATGGCAGGATTGCCATAAATCAGAGTCTACTTGAAAGCACATAACAACACTTTCTGAAGCAGGAGCCTTACATTTACACACTATGCTGCCCTCTTCTGGCTGCCGTATTTGACCTATTTCAGTAATTTTCTGTATGCAATATGTTGTACACAATGGATGTGTATAATCATCATGGATTACTTACTCATTACTTGCTTGTTTTAATATGCTAATAGAGCTATTCAGAAATTAATGATCCATGTCTAATCTTCAAAATAAGATAAGAAGTGTTTTTGTTGATGTTTCTCCAGTTTATGGAAAACGTCTGCACAAAACTTGTGTCTTTTCTATTTAGGAAGGAAAATATCAAGCACACGGGATTAGCTGAATGATAAGAAAGGATGCAAAGAGCCTATCTAGGACTTTTTACTTTAACAGAGTGCCTGACATAAATATTTTTTTTTATTGTTCCAGTATTGGTAAACTCTAATGGTAAAGTGCATCAATACTGGTTCCTGGCTGACATGGGCAAGGCACCTGATCATTGGCCCTCCTGAAGGAAACAAAGGGGCTTTGGATTTGGTAGATCCAAAGATGCTAGAGGAAGCTGACCACAAAGCCATGCTGGAAGTCCTAGAATTTCCTAGAGAGATATTCTCTCAGGTAAAACAAATAGCATGATTTTATTCCTGGTTTTTCACTTTCACAGGGCTCCTATGCTCCTAAATCTAGTGAATGTAGAGAGGTGACTGTACTTCCTCTTCAAAATAAAAGCTGTACTTATAGTATGCATTAATTAATACACTCTTAATTGAGTTAGAACATATTACTCTTGCAGACCAGGGACATTTTAATACTACTGAGGCTGAAGTCTTAGTTGATCTATGTGAGTCATTGAAACCAATTGCTTTCATGCTGCTTCTGATGTAGACCCTTCAAAGGTTTAAGCACTGGAGGTCTTTTGTTAGGCAATCAACCTACATTATTTATATCAGGCTTCTTTAAAACAAAATCCACAAAAGCCCCAAACAAAAAGCCAAAACATGAATCAGGAGAATACATATCTTTTCTGCAGTTTATGCCTTTGGCCCTTTTTTCATTCATCACATTGGGGCAGCAAGAGGAGATTCAGTAATACTCAATATTTGATGGACACAAAATTGTTAAAAATGAAAAATGACTACTGAATATTTTTGTAGTTGCTTAATGTTATTCTTAACCCCAAGGAAAGGAAATAGTCAAGATAAAATGTCCCCAGTGATTTGGAAATCAGTCACCTGCAAAAGCCCCATCTCTATGAGTTAAAAGAAGACCATAGTGTGTGTAGTTGCTCAAGGGTGCTAAAGACTTCCTTGGCAATAAATGTCAACTCTTTATGTTCCCGGCCCTTTCAGACACCATACTAAAATGCAGTTTAACTTGTGAGCAACAATTATCCAGATGATGCACTTTATTTATTTATTGCCTGGCAAAGTTGGAAACATCTTTGTGAGAGCCGTTCAACCGCGAGATTTTAAAACCGTTTGTTTAGGCTTTGCCAAAGTTGCTTAATGGTTCTGAAAATCAAAATAACTGTGGGAGGCATCCGAAAATAATTCCAAAAAATGGGTAAGTGGTTTCAATTTGGAATTGCTCCTCCCACTATTCCTGCATGGTTCAAAATTAGTTCAAATGTCCAAATTCATTAAGTTTTTCCAAACTTTAGGTTTTTCCAAACCAAACTTTGCAAGCCTAGTGTTTAGTACCTCTTTAGGGTGTTTAGCATGTTTTAAAGGGGCTTTGGCTCTTGTTTAGGGGTGTTTAGTACATGTTTGGGAGTTTTTAGTACTTGTTTAGGGATGTTCAGCACCTGCTTAAGGGTTTTTGGCTTCTGTTTAGGGGTGTTTGGAGCCTGTTCAGGAGTGTTTAGTGCTGGAAAACCCCTAGGAACTTTTCAAAGGACAAAATGAATGCATTTCAAGAGATGGCTATTAAGAATTATTGTTATATCAAATAGCTACTTACCTTTGCAAGCTGGTGGTAAACTCCAAGTTCCGTTTTCTAAACAAACACTTCTTAGGGAGCCCTCCAGCATATACCCACTGTAGCATGAGAATGTTACCATATCTCCATATTGAAAAAACGTTCCACGGATCAATGCATTTTCTACATGAGCAGGTGGCCCGCAAGATATCTCTAGACAGAAACAATAACAGAAAAGTTATTGAATTATAACCTCCTTCACAACTTCAGAGGGGAAACATTTATTATTATTATTATTATTATTATTATTATTATTATTATTATTGTTATTATTATTGCCTCGCTTTTTATCTCCACAAGGTTTTCCACTCCCATTTTAGTGGATTTTCCATATAAACTCAGATGTCTGGGATTCTGTATACAGAAAGCAGGGGTTGATGGTGCCTGGATTGATCCTGGCTCTGAGGAAAGTGGAGAATAGTAGTCCAGGTGTCAGTCTTAACACCTAATAACAGACAAATCAACTATCATTTCATTTGCATAATAAACCAAATTGAAAGCTGAGTTCACAGACAGATGGCTGGATATTCTTTCAAGCCTTGCCTACCATGGATTATCACTGATACCTATTGTTATGATAATCAAATCTTTTATGTGCTTATACGTTTATAAATATGTATCAGTTTACACAATCTCCTTACTTGGTTTAATTAGCTTTAGATTGTAGCTTCAGTGGAAAAAAGGCCGTATACATTTTCAACAGAAACAAAAATGAAAGCCAGTTTTCTTTATTATACTTACTTTCACATTTAGCTCTAGTTGGAGTCCAAGCCTCATCAGGATTACAGGTAATGACAGATGGTCCCCGAAGCTGATATCCTTCTCTGCACCTGATAAATACTTTCTGCCCGACATAAAAAGTTGTTTCTGACAGAAGAGCATTTTCTGGGATTATAAAAGGCACAGGGCATGGATTTGCTGTTTAAGACCATGAAAGAGGGAAAAATTAGATTTTAAAGAGATAGCCTTTCACTTACTTAAATTAACTACCAGAGAAAATCAGGCTATTTATTATTTATTATACCCCATCTTTCAGGTACATAAAACTTACACTACACAGTATGACCTCCCTGCCTCTAGGGAAAAAGAGAAAAACTCCTACATTGCGCCTGTCATTTCTGCAGTTATCCATTTATTTACTCAGAATGCACGCGCACACTCACACACTCACACACTCATTCAATGGGGCTTCAAGAGCAATTTACAAAAAAACATGAATAAAATACAACTTGCTAATAAAGCATTGAAACACATTTATAAACTCGAGAAAATAAAACAATTTGGAGCCTGGCTATGGAAATGATTGCCTCTTGTGCCATGAACATGCCCGAATATGGTCTTCTTTCATTTGAAGAGGACCAAATGATGATTCTGTGGATTCTGTAGGACACGGATTTCTCCAGTGTTGTCTCCAAACTTTGGGATGCAGTTGTGAACATTCCCAATGCCTTCAGGAAGAGTTTGAAAAAGTATCTCTTCAAATTGTTTTTTGTTTGCAATGCTTTATTGTTATTGTTGATTTAAATAGCTTGAATTATGTGATGTTTTCAATGGTTTGATTTTCTACCTGTTTTCATTTGTGTGTGTGTGTTTTAAACTATTTTCATATATTTTAGATCAGAAAAGCAAAACAGAAATGTAATAAATAAATCCACAGATACATATATAAATACAAGACTAGGTCTATTTCATGATCCTGGGTCCTGAACAATAGAGAGATTGAAAGGTAAGCACCAGATGTTTTAATCATGCTTGGCTTGGAAATGGACTTGAAACTAGTTATTTCACTATCAGTGAGAGATGTCCATAATTGGTAAAACTGAAAAATGGGGAAAAACCACCTTTTCCATAACTGCTTTTAAACTTAAAAGACATTGGAAGATCTGATATGGTTCTGGCACATCATGTGCTGCCTAACATTCAGAATCTCTGCTGCCCTCTTCGGTTCAATGTGGATAATTACAGAAAGGGTTGAATATTGTGTGCCTTGCTAAGAAAACCTCTGAGGTGGGGTTTTCTTAACAAGATTTGCCTTCCTCTGAGGCTGAGAGAGTATAACTTGCCCAAGGTCACCTAGTGAGTTTATATGGCTGAGCAGGAACTGGAATCCTAGCTCCAGAATCACAGTCCAACACTCAAGTCACTTCACCACACTGGCTCTTTCTCTATTAATTCGTACTGGAATTGAAGACATAAAAAAACCCATTTATTATTGTTACGTTGGCTTCAATATAGTGTCTCTATGAATGAGAAAGCCCCAAACACCTAGTCATTTACAGTCTTGCAAAGATCTTGCAAACCTTCAGCTTCTTTGATTGAGTCTTTTCATTTGTAGCGTAGTATTCCTCTTTGCCTATTGCTTTCAAATTAACAAAGAATTACCACTTTTTCTAATGAGTTGTGTACATTGTAGGATTAATACAGTGACTTGGGGTTTTATGATGTCTTTAGTTTTCTCTGCCTAAAAGTGCTGGTGCCTCACCAAACTACAAATCACAGGATGTAATAGTATTGAGTCATAGCAGTTAAAGCGGTGTCAAATTGCATTAATTTCACAGCATGTATGCACCCATAATCTCATGATATGGTCAAATGCTATTAACCCCAATTTCATTATTTTGGCATCTAGGAGAAGTTAGGGCTTGCTTGTTTTGATTTGCTGAAGGACCCTTATATTTGTCTTCTTGGCTTATCTAAAATACCCATAAGAAACAAATGGTTATCGTGTAAAGCTTATGCTTACATTGATGCACAAAATGAATGGAAATAAATGCAAACAGAAGCATAATCTATTGGTCCATTAGTGGCTTCTGTAAATTAAAATGTGCTAATTTTCTTGAATGGTACTGCATTACATGAGAATATAAATAAGAAATCCCAAGTTTCTTCTCTTATTTAAGCTACATAAATGAGGATAAAGTTCAGCAAAGAAAATAGGTTCATTCTGGATTAGAAGTACTTTCTGAAAAGGCAGAAACCAAGTTTCAAATAAACCGAGTTTTCACTATTATCACAAAGGAACATACGTTTGCATAGAGGTATTGGATGGCTCCATGTTCCAGCTTCTGTGCATTCTGCAATAGGTTCTCCTTCCAAGGTGTAACCTCTGTTGCAGTAATACGCAGCCCTGCTGCCCACAGTATTGTTTTCATAGAGGGCATTCCCGTTCTCAATGAATTCTGGATCTTCACATCTGGTTTCTAAAAATTAGGGAGCTTAATTAAGGCAATTCTTTCCCAATATACCGCTTAACTACATATTAGAAGAAAAACAACATAGAGAGTGAGTTGCAGACATCCTATCTGTCAGGACTCTTCCAACATCCATTCAGATCTCTGTAGATATGGATTTTTGTAGAGATTCTACAGAATTTGGACTCTCCCATGCCTTTGGGTAATGCAAGGCAAGGTTGCTTTAAGGCAGCCTTTCCCTAGGTTACCTTAGATCAGCCCCATGCAGTGTTTGGTCACTAAAAAGGCTGATCTGCATCCACATCAGCTTAAGTGTAGATGTGGCCTCAGAGAACTAGATGTCTATTGATTACATAGATAAGAAACCTAAACTAATACATCACAGTCACAGAAGATAATCTAATAGTCACCTTCACAGGATGGAAGGGGCTTGCTCCAGGATCCGTTGGCTAAGCAGGTGATGTTTTCAGGTCCAAGGAGATGATATCCAAAATTACATATAAAAGAAATGTTGTTTCTATATGTGTTTTCTATGAAGACTGAGTAGGCATTTTCTACGGTTGGTGGTGATTCGCATCTTATGCCTAGAAGAGGAAAGAATCAGTCAATTTATTCATGTTAATATAGTGTTCCTTTTAATTAATAGTATTATATCCCTCACAACAGCAAAAGAGTAGAATTGAAATGTGATTTGATTTGGATCATTTGTTTGGAAAGGTCTGTCTGTCTGTTTGTCTATCCTATCCTATTCTTCCATACATCTATCTATCCACCCATCCATCCATTTGCTGGCAAAAGTATGATAGCTGGGACCCTACGCTAGTTGCGTAACGCGAATCAGAATTAATGAAGGGAACACATGCGCAAGACAGCGGAGCGAGTGAGAGACGCAGCTGCGACAGGATAGCAGGGAAGTAATTTAACTCAGGAGAGACAGGATAAGGGTGAGGTAATGTAACAGTATTTCCCTCCTCCTTTTTATCCTTCCTCCCATTGGTTGTCTTTCTCCCCTCTTTTTTTAATCCTTCCTTCTATTGCAACAACTCTGCAGCAGTTGCGTCTCTCACTCGGTGTGCTCACTCATGCACATGTTCTCCTAATTCAGACCCACGTTGCGCATGCAGCGTTGCATAGGGTCCCAGCTATTATACTATTGCCCATTTGTCTATCTTTCATGACAAGCAGCCACTGATAGCAAAATTATCTATTAATCTGTTCAGTGCCCTTCTAAAGCTATACAAGTTGGTGGCCACTGAGAGAGAGGGCTGTATGTTATTGTGAAGGACTCTTCCACTCTCCTGAACATACTGCTTGATGCTTTGTCCATATGTATTGATCTTTACTTACTCACACACGTAGGAGCTGAGGGGCTCCACTTCTTGTTAACATGGCAGATCCTTCGAGTTGGCCCCTGTAGTTCAAATCCTTGATCACAACTGTAAAGAACTTCATCTCCAAAGAAGAAATCTTTGCCAATAACAGATCCATTATTGATGGGCTCAGGGGCCCCACATGATATTTCTGAATATGGACACAAAAGTTAATGTTTTATTTAAATGTCTTTACAGAAACACATGTTTTACTATTTTAAACTCACCCACTTTTTCTTCTTTCCAGGCAGGACTATGATGGTGGTTGATCTGCATCAATGGATTTGCTAATAATAAATTACTGGAAGCACAAGTAAGCTAAAGTTTTGAACTGGGGAGGCCAGTGGTTAGTGAAAGGGATTCAGTAATGCCATTGTGTAATGCAGGGATCCTGAAACTAAGGCCCCGGGGCTGGATACGGCCCTCCAAGGTCATTTAGACATTAGACTAGCACCCACGTTGGCAGTCTTTAGGAGAAGCTTGAAGACCTGGCTATTCCGATGTGCCTTTCCGGAATAAGAAAACCCAGCACTATGCCCCAGAAGCACTTTATTAGAGTTAAATGACTCTCTGCACACTGCACTTGCCCAGAAATCCAACATACCATCTGTCACACCCAGCACTTTTTAACCTGTACCCATCATTGGCCCAGCCTTGGTTTTACTGTGTAATGGTGTAATGTTTTTGTTATGGCTTTATGTTTTTAATTTGCTTTGGACTGTATTGTTGTTGTTGTGTTGTTGTTGTGTTGAGGCCTTGGCCTCTGTAAGCCACGTCGAGTCCTTTAGGAGATGCTTGCGGGGTACAAATAAAGTTTAATAATAATAATAATAATAATAATAATAATAATAATAATTTACCCGGCTCTCACTCAGAGTCAACCTAAGTTTGAAACGACTTGAAAGCACACAACAACAACAATCCTATGTCATCAGCCAAAAGCAGGCCCACACTTCCCACTGAAATACTAATAAGTTTATATTTGTTAAAATTGTTCTTCATTTTAATTATTGTATTGTTATTAAGTGTTTTTTGCACTACAAATAAGATATGTGCAGTGTGCATAGGAATTCATTCATCCCCCCCCCCCCCCCCCCCAAATTATAATCCAGCCTTCCAACAGTTTGAGGGACTGTGACCTGGCCCTCTGTTTAAAAAGTTTGAGGACTTCTAGTGTAATGGAATCATTTTAGGATGCTTTAAGATCCTGGAGCTTCACCCATGACTGAGGCATGGTGTGAAAAAGAGAGTAAAACATATACATGTTAATAGTCACCAGCTAATACATAGCCTGGAGGACCATAGTGATTCTTGAACAGAAATGTTGGAAGACAAATCACCCTGGGCGCAGCTTTGCCTTTTCCACTTAAGAGGTTTGGCAATCTTATGGACACTATAGATAACAAGTTGAGCTTCGTGTGTGCTTTTTGTCCCTTACAGTTCCTGCAAAATTCCATCACACAGACTTCTCCCCTGACATTAAATTATTTTTGAATGATATTTGAATGAATCTCCAGTCAAAATCAACGCACTCCCATTTTTCTTCTTTTAAAAAGCCATATTCAAGTAGAGCTTGACATGTAATTAATACATAGCTTACTTTTGCACACTGGTGTTGCTCCACTCCACAGTTTATCTGCTTGACAGGTACGTTCTGCATCACCCTATCAGGCAAGAGAAGAATTCAGAAAATAGCATGAAATATCCATCTTTTTGTCATATTCTCATATTTTTGAAAAGCCAAAGAAATCAGAAGTACGTATGCTTTAATTTCTCCCCATTTTACTAGGGGCATGAAATTCCCATCTGGCGAAGGGAATTTTAATTTTTCACTCAGTGTGCATCCATCTTGTACTATTAATGTGGTTTGATTCCACTTTAACTGTCATGGCTCAATGATATGGAATCATGGAAGTTGTCACTTTAAAAAACTTATTAGGCTACAGCTTCCAGGATTCCATAGCACTAAGCCATGGCAGTTAAAGTGGTGTCAAACTTCATTAAGTCTACAGTGTAGATGCCACCCTTTATAATCTGTAATTTATAATTTGGATTATAAAATATTATGATGCTATATTTAATAATATATCTATGTACAGTTGTCTGTCTTGTCATTGTATGATGGTATTGAATGTTTGACGTATATGTATTCTGTGATCCGCTCTGAGTTCCCTTCAGGGTAAGAAGGGCGGAATATGAATACTGTAAATAATAAATAAATAAATAAATAAATAATACATAAATGTGATTTGACTCCTTGTTGCCTGCCTCTTAACAAGCAGTAGAGATATGGCACTTCAATAGGCTTGTAGACTGGTAGCAAAATAATTGTGCTGTCCAGCTCTGTTTTACATTTTTAGCATTAAAAAAAACGATATTGTATTTGTACATATATTGTTAGTTCCCCGGATTATATCTGGAAAGGAACACTGGCTACAAATATTAATATAGGCATCTGCATGTAAGTAAATAATAGTATAAGATGCAAAAGTAAATTAAGAATTTACTTTCAAATAAGAGTCTCCATTGAAACACATTCCATATATGGCAGATATTGATATTGACCTCTTACTATTATTATTATTATTATTATTATTATTATTATTATTATTATTAACTTTATTTGTACCCCGCTAGCATCTCCCGAGGGACTCGATGCGGCTCACACAGGCCGAAGCCTCAAAACACAATACAGTAAAAAACATAACACAACAATAGCAAAGCAAATCAAACAATAAGCAATAACGACACCAACAATACATCAAACATTATTAAAACTGGCTCGGCCGGCGCGATGGGTACAGGAAATTAAATGCAATTTTCCTGCCTCTTTTATGGAATGCTACTAGGAGACTCTATTATTTTCCACTCCTTAAACTGTTCCCCCCCCCTTTTCATAAACATTAATTAAAGGCAAAATATGGAATCTCACCACATTGCATTTTCAGTAGTACACCTGACAATGTTATTTTCAGAGAAAAATAACGTCACATTTTTAAATTGTTCACCAGGCTTCCCAACTTGATCCCTCAGTAACACATTTATGCATATATCAGTTGTGCAACTGCCACTTTGTCTCTATTAATGACTGAACCATATATGATTTTAACTATGAATCAATGCAGGCAGTCCCCAAGTTTTGAACAAGATAGATTCCATAAATTTGCTCTTAAACTGAATTTGTATGTAAGTCAGAACAGGTACATTAACTCCAGTCAAAAATATCTATTTTTTTAAACCTCTGAACAGCATAGGAAAGAGTAAACATCCCTGTGGTGTTTGTTTTACTGTCTGTGTCCCTGTTCAGAAGATTTGACCTCACTTTCTGTCCCCGTGATAATTGGATTTTGAACATTGTGGCTTGATGTGGAAACAAGGATTTGTGATGAAGCTTCAGTGGAGATACCTTTTCCCCATGATAATTCTTTCAGGAGTGAATTTCCCTTTTGAGGGGTAGATTTATCTCACTTCTTGTTGTCCCACCTCCATTCTTAACTATGGGTCATTTGTAAGTCGGATGTGAGTAACTTGGGAACTGCCTGTAATTAGTTTTGGTTGAAAAGTTTGCCGAAACATGTTGAACCGCTCTTCTTATTTATGTCATAGGAACCTATCCTTTCCATATCCTTTCTGCCTCCGACACCACATTTTTTGTTGCAGACTCAATGCCCAGACACACATTTACATTATTAACTGGGATATATGTGTATAGCATTATAGTATATAAAGTTAAAATCTAAGTGCTTGCAATACGGATATGGATTTCTGCCCTTCGCTACACGGTATACGGTATGAATTTCTGCTCTTCGCTGTGAAGCCCTATTTTGTGTTGAAAACCAGACCCAGAGAAAGCTTTCTGGGTTTTTACGGGGTGCTTGAGGGAGGAGTGCCTTTTGTGAGTGCTATGGTACATACTGGATATGGGCCTCATTATTTTATGGTCATTATTAGGTTCACTTATGACTTAAATAATACTAGTCAACACAATTTATGTTCCTGGGTTATAAATGTCATTTCCTAATTGATTCTATCATAAAAACATGGAAAATGTTTATTAAACTGCAAAAACTTTCTTTTTGCAGGGCATCCTGCATCACATTTTGCTCTAGTTTTCAAATGTATATCTCACAGAGTCTCAACCAATTCAACATAGTTTGTGGCAGCCACAAAAATGAAGTTTCTGGATTATAACAACTACTTTCAAAGTAAGTACCCCACAATTAAAATAACATTAAAATCAAAATAACACTTTCAAACCAGGAACTATATATATAATTTTGTTACATAGTGCAATTTACAACACCAAGTATTATATATACAACAGGAGTATACAGGAGAATCCTTGGGATGTAGAGTATTTGGTAGTTATAGGAGTTTTTAATATTTTCTCATTTAAATAACTCTTCACAAGTTCAAACAGCTAAGACACAAAAAGCTTCCTTACTCTTCTCCTGCTTGAAGGATTTTTAAATGTAGCAACACATTAAAAATTTGACCGCTTATCTACAAATGGAAATATTACAGAACACGTTGTCTATGATAACTTCTACCTAATTCAGATGCTTTTGTTCTGATAGATGCAGAACTGTACTTAAGAGCAAGATCTCAATCTGATGTTATCATTTGGTCTTCATCTCTGGATGCAAAATAAGCATGTGCTACATCCATTTTAAATGGCACATGCATGTATTTATTACTTCTTTCCAATATACAAAAGGCTGGAGCCTACTTGCATTTTAATGAGACAAGCAGCAATTAAAACAAGCATACGTCTCTTCACGTATGGCATATTTGTACAGAAGAAGTCATATTAAAGAAGTGTGATGCACATAAGGGATCTGAACAAATTTCATTCTGATCTAATATGTTATCTATTGCTGATCAGCACACTATAAAGCTGGTATCATTGACTTACATCTAATTCATAACCAGAGCTGCATTTATAAATAACTGTATCTCTGTAATTGTATTTGTTGCCAACTACAATCCCATCTTCTGGAAATTCAGGTTCTCCACAGAACACAGGTGTACAGATATCACTTGAAAACAACGGCATCCAGTTGCCATCACTCTAAAAAGAAGAGAAAGCATATTCAAGGTTTGCTAGTAACATGAAAAGAATAAAACAGAATTGCAAATAGCAAATACAATATAAAACCTATCAGATTCTGATTCCTTGATATGTATGCAAGACCTGTATATCTACAGTGAGATTTTTATTTCTCTTTCCAAACTAATTGAACACTGTGTTGTTGAAGGCTTTCATGGCTGGAATCACTGGGTTGCTGTGAGTTTTCCGGGCTGTATGGCCATGGTCCAGAAGCATTCTCTCTTACATTTTGCCCACAGCTATGGAAGGTATGCTCAGAGATTGAGAGGTCTATTGGAAACTACGCAAGTTAGGTTTATATATCTGTGGATTGTCCAGAGTGGGAGAAAGAACTCTTATCTGCTTGGGGCAAGAGTGAATGTTGCAATTGGACACCTTGATTAGCATTGAATGGAGTTGCAGCTTCAAAGCCCGAGGGAATCCTTTGTTGAGGTGTTAGCTGGCTCTGATTGATTCTTGTCTCCAATTCCCCTGCTTTTTGAGTGTTGCTCTTTATTTACTGTTTATTATTGAACATTACATTAGAAATAATTTCAAGAGAAGACTGTAGTATGGTGCAATATCCCAGCTAGAGATTCCCTACAATCATTGTGGGTGTGAATACAGACTGTCCTTGAAGCGACTGACTTTTTTTGTTTTTTTTTAAGACAGAGTGACCTTCTATATGAATGGAGAGATACACATATGAAGATATGTATATTTTGCCATGCGCACACACAGAAGGCAAGAGGAAGTACTGTACAATGAACTTGGGATTTTATACTGTTGTTGCAGTGTGGGCAACACATTCTCAACTCAGAGGAAGGCAAGGGCAAACCAATCAGAAAAAGAAAAACCCGTGACAGGTTCACCTTTGGTTCTTATAAGTCAGAAATTATTTGACTGCACACAGCAACAATTACTGACAATTACTTTTAGAACTATATATTTACCTGGCATGTTGAGGTTCTTGCCCCAGTTAAAAGAAAGCCTTCTGGGCATGATAAGGTAATGCTCTTGTTCACAGTGAATTCAGCTCCAGAGATAATTATATTGTTTATATTTATTGGGAGGGGGCATTTCTGGGGGCAACAAGAAATTGTATCAAGAGACCAATGTCCATCTTCCTGACAGGTACATGTATCCATTTCTGTCTCCATCACATAACCTTCCAAACATCTGAAACGCACAAAACACACTTTTGTCATTAACAATAGGGCCAATTCAGAAAATCAGAAATCAAAATCCTCTCCAATTAATATTTTTTACACACACACACACACACACACACACACACACACACAGAACCAGTGTACTCCTCCTCCTATGCCTAACCTTGTATTCTGTTTTTGGTAAAGATGGTGGTGATGATTATAATTACAAAGACAAAATTCTGCATCCTCAGTGAGTATACCCCACTCTGTTACTCTTTCTGACAAATATGTAAAGAATATTCAAAAACCCTTCAGTATTAGATACAAACATAGAAACTATTCTTACCTGTACTGGACTTTGCTCCCATAGACTTGTGAATCTCCCAAAGCAACTGCATGAGGCACAGAAGGAGGTGGACCACAGGTCAGTAAAATACAGCTTGGATACGGCTTACTCCAGACTCCATTTTCTGTACAAGTAAGTTCTGAGCTCCCTTGCATCACATAGCCAGTCTCACAATTATAAAGTATGCCATTCTGATCCACAGAGCCGCTCCCATTGATGAAAGCATTGAGGATTGTTGGTGGAGGGCCACATGAGATCAGTCCACAGTATGGGAAGCCAGAACTCCATCTGCCTGCAGCTTCACAGGTGATTTCTGAAGGACCCAGCAGTTTGTAACCTTCTAGACACTCAAACTCAACTCTCTTGCCACAGCCAAAACTGTTACCTTTAATTACTCCATTCTGAATTGTTGGCACAGGACATTCACAAGGCAGGCAAGAGGAGGGCTTTCCACTCCATAAGCCATTTGACATACACCGCCTCACTGGATTTCCATGTAATTCATAACCAGGAAAGCAGAGATACTCTATATATTCCCCATAACTGAAAACTGAACCATTCAGGAAACCATGAGCAATATCCTCAGGAGGCCCACAGTTGATGGGCTCACAGAACGGAGCCTCTTTATCCCAGAAACCATTTGCCTGACAGATAAGTGAGGATGCACCTTGGATCACATAACCTTCATCACATTGATATACAATACTCTTCCCAAAGCCAAATTCTGATCCACCGATTTCCCCATGAAGAAGTTTCAGTGGCACAGGGCACTGGATCGCTCTACACACTGGAGGGTTCCCACTCCAAGTTCTATTTGCAAGGCAGACTCTCTTTTGGTCACCTTCCAGCAGGAAACCTTCCCCACAGCTGTACTCAACATATTTTTGGAATGTATATTCTTCTCCAGTCACTTGGCCATTTTCTAAATTGGGGGCTTGGCCACAGGAAATGGGAATGCAGATGGGTTCATTTCCATCCCATTTTTGGTCAGCCTGGCATGTTCTCTTCCCTGAACCATTTAACTGAAACCCAGGATTACAATCATATTGGATTACACTCCCATAAGTGTAAGCCTCCCCTTTTACAATGCCATTCATGGGTTGGCTTGGCACTGTGCATGACATTATCTCACAGATTGGTGCTGCATCACTCCATTGCCTACTAAATGTACAAAATCGTGTTTCTGGGCCAATTAGCTTGTATCCTGGTTTACAAGTATATTTCACTGTACTACCAAGAGTTTTTTCTGTAAAATGTACAAAGCCATTTTGTGGAGGCAACAGAAATTCACACTCAATGGAACTGCAGACTGGAGCACTACCATTCCACATGCCATCCTCTTGACAGGACAGCACAGAATTTCCTAAGAGTTCATAGCCCAGAAAGCAACTATACATTATTGTAGCCCCATATAAATAGCCTGAGAGTGGCAATGTATTAATGGCCCTTGAAGAACTTTGCATGTCTTTTTGGTTCTCAAGTATTAGAGCGAAAATAGGTGGGTTGGCAGTATGGGATCCCTCTTGCAATATTCCTTCCTGACCATAAGGTTTTTCTTCATTGCTAATTGTTATATACCCCCCAAAATCTATATGTGGCGGAAGTCCACAGTCTGTTGGAAGGCAAACTGGACTAACACTAGACCACCCTGATTCCTCACAGGTCTGCATGGCAAGGCCAGAGAGCTGGAATCCTGGAATACAGCTGTATATCACCATTGCACCATAGCTGTAATCTGCTCCTTCCACAAAGCCATTCTCAATAGGCTGTGGAGGATCACAAGTGATAGGTCTGCAAGAAGGAACTTCGGCATCCCATTCCCTTGATTCCAAGCACCTCAGAACACTTTGTCCTTCCAGTTGGAATCCTCTTTCACATGAATAGGTAACTGTCTGCCTGTAGTGCAGGTCAGTGTATGAATATCGACCATTCTGTATTTCCTTGGGTTTGGAGCACTCAATAGGTTTGCAAGTGGGCTTTCCCCCAAGCCAGTGGCCATCCTCTCCACAAAGAACTGTCATGTTTCCCATTAGTTCAAAGCCTGGTTTACAGTTATATAGTGCAGTGCTGAGGTAAGTTAGGCCTTGCACATCTACAATGCCATTCTGAATTTCCTCTGGTTGTGGACACTCCACTGGAATGCACTCTGGCAATGGGAAGCTCCACGTACCATCTTCTTGGCAACTGATGGTGGAAACCCCTTTCAGCAAAAACCCATCCATGCAGGTGTATGTCACTGTGCTACCAAAATGAAGAGTAGATACCACAGAATCCCCAAAAGGAATATAAGGAGGTCTATGGCACAGTACCAATTGGCAGTATGGGAAGGAATCATTCCACTGTTGTGATGATAGGCATTTCAGCATAGAGGCACCATGCAAAATGAAGCCCTCTTTGCACGAAAACTGCACCACACCCACTTGATCAGCAATTTCTTTCAGAACAAGCTGATTCTCAATTAGTGGTGGTTCTGGACACTTTGTTGGGACACATTTGGGATTTTGCTTTTTGTTCCATGTCCCTGTCTTCTGACAGACCCAAGATGCATCTCCTATGAGCTCATAGCCTTCATCACAAACAAAAGTGACCTTAGCTCCCACCTCAAAAGCTTTTCCCTTTCTGAATCCATGCTGGAGAGGAGGTGGCTCCCCACAAGTGAGGAGCACACAGGAAGGAGGTGCTTCACTATTCCATTGACGGTTGGCTTGGCAAAATAAGAGTGGACTTCCAATCAGCTGGTAACCTGGATTGCACTGATATCTCACTTCACTTCCAAAGGAATGTCCCGTTATGTTCTGAAAAAATGGATCAGAGTAGCAAATGTTATGGATCTGATATCATAAAGGTAACGAACATAGCACTGCCTTGTGACAGTTTAAGAAGATAAAAAATCTGGTTTCAAAAACTGCAGTTTAACATTTAAAGAATTTACAGGAAAAAAATTCAGGTTCTCTCCATGTAGTTTTGGAATTCAACTGGAATGATGATATGGCTATTAATACTGTGTTTTTACTGTTTTTATTGTTTTATTGCTTGTAATGAATTTTCTATTTATTGTTTAATTGTTATTATATTGCTTTGTTATATGTAGTGGCATTGAATTGCTGCCAAATGTAAGCCGTCCTGAGTCCCATTGAGAAGGAACGGGGTAGAAATACCGGAAATAATAATAATAATAATTATAATTATAATTATTATTATTATTATTATTTAAGATATGACAGCTCACTTGTCACTTTTATAGAATCAGGGTAACAGAAAAAAAATGAAGTCAAAATACTGAAATACATAATTATGAAACATGCAGATTTACAGTGGTGTATATTTGTATCTGGCCCAGCTTACTTGTCCGAACGCATCCACCTCTATGTTCCACCTCGAAACCTAAGATCATCTGGGGAGGCCCTGTTCTCGCTCCCGTCAACAGCACAAATGTGCCTGGCGGGGATGAGAGACAGGTGGCTCCCTGCCTATGGAGCACACTCCCAACTGAGGTAAGATCGGCCACTTCCCTCTTGGCTTTTCGAAAGAAATTAAAGGCATGGTTTTGGGACTAGGTTTTTTGACAATAGATGTAAGCAGCACCTTAAAGGGACTTGACTGGAACAACGATATGGCTGACGAGGTTGTTTTACTGTTTTAATGATGGCTTATGTATTGTTTAATTATGTTTTATGTTCAATTGTGGTTTTATTATTGTAATTGTTATGTAGTGGCCTCGTAACAGGGGTGCATTGTAAGTTGTCCTGAGTCCCCCTTCGGGGGTTGAGAAGTGACAGGATAGAAATATGGGAAATAAATAAATACGGAAAATATTTGTAAGTGCATGTGTGTATGTAAGCACAATACCAGTTTCCTCTCTCAACATCTTTATGGCTAGTGAATGAAAAAAGTGGTTTTTAGGTATCATTTGACACTATTGCAAATTTGGTTTGTGTGTGTTTTTCTCAAAAATGCTAATATTAGTGGATGAAACTGTACATATCTAATTTTGAAATATCTGATACTGACAGTAAATTCTTTCCATAACTACATTACCTGGTCTGTTACACCTTTTCACTTTCATTTGAAAAAAAATGATTACACTATTTATTCTACATTAAAACATTTTTCAAGTTCATTTTCCCAGACTTAAATATTCTGAACGGTAAACTGCACAAATATAATTAATGTTTCATGGATTCAAGAACTTAGCAATACCTCAATAACTCCATTTGGAAGTTTCATTGGCTCTCCGCAGGACACCGGATGACAAGTAGGTACTGTGCTGCTCCAGGTTCCTGTTGCTTCACATGTCCTCTTCTTCTCTCCTTTGATATAGTATCCCCTAGTGCAGCTGTAAGCCACGACTGCACCAAAACTATAATTTGAGCCAATTGCATAACCATTTTTTATGCTTGGGGGGTCTCCACAGCGAACAGGAATGCACTGGATAGTCAGTGGGGATGGGTTCCACTGCCCTCCTCGAACACATTCAATCTTAGCAGAGGTGTTTAAGACAAAGCCCTCCATGCACTTGAAGCTCACAATTGACCCAGCAGAAAACTTGGCCTTGTTCGAGGATTCCAAAATGCTGTATGATACAGAGAGTGGTCTCTCACAGAAGTCAGCTATACACTCAGGAACATCTTTGCCGGCAGGGGGAACCCACTTCCCTTGGGCATTACAAAGTAACTGGGCATTGCCAGCTAAGCTGTATCCATCAGAGCAGTAGTAGATAGCTTCATCACCAAACAGCCGGTGACCACTCTCTGGAGAAGCATGTTCCACCAGTGGTGGTTCATCGCATGAAACAGCCACACACTGCTGGTGATGAAGGTCCCATTGACCATTTGCCAGACATTCAACAGTCTCTGGACCAATTAATGTATAGCTGTAGATAGGGAAAAAAATACCAGCATTACATTCCTAAGGGAATTTCCAGATAATCTCTATTATCTTATAGATGATCTTTGAAATTCAAAATATTGGAGATTTTGGTAACTTTAAATACTTCCTCCCCTTCCTCATTAAAAGACTTGCAAAGGATAAATGCAGTATATTAGTGCAGTTTAACGGCTACCTTTTAATAACATAGTATCCTGATACAGAAAACACAGATTTAGCAAAAAAACAAAACAAAAAAACAAATACAAAAAAAAAACACACCAAAAAAATCTTAGCGTTATCGTCATGTATACAGTACGGGTGGAAAAATTAATATTTGAAAAATGGCTGAAACATTAATTTCTCAGGAGTCACAATCCTTAATAAGGAGAATGATAGGTGAGTGAGAATACTCACAGTACAGGATTTTTTATTCATTAAATATGCACAACAAATAACATTTCTGCTCAGAAAATATTATTTTTTGTGCAGAAAACCTTTAGCTTCCCCATGGTTTTTTTTTTTGCATTTGTACTCAGAAAATCTTTTTCCTGTATAAAATTATTTTCTTGTACAACATTCTGCAATTTTTCCATGCAAGAGAGTTTTTTCTATGCAGAAACTTTCTGCACAGAAAATTCCACATGCATTTTTTGCATACAGTGAGTCCTGAACTGTAAATAATTTTCAAAAATTGCACCGTTTCATTTTTACCACTTATCTCACAGAAAGCGAATAAAATAATGAAATTATCTATTCTTCCATTTGAAAATAAAAATCCATTATTCACTTCACTATTATCTGCTGACTGGCAATATGTATTCATTAAGAGTTCTAATCTAGTAGAGCTCATTTACATACCCTTCCTTACACATATAAGTGATGGTATTTCCAAAGGTAAAGTTGTTCCCAGTTACAATGGCATCTTTAATAACAGGAGGGAGATCACAAGAAACAATTTTGCATTCTGGAGGTAAACTGCTCCAGTTAGCTGTATCTTCACACACAAGCACAGAGGCTCCTTGCAAACTATGAGACAGATAAACATAAAAAGGACAATGATTGGAAGAGCAAAATGTGGTATTTTTCTCAGTCCTTTAATTGAAAATAAATCAATTGCATAAATCAATAAATCCAGGGGTATATATTTATCACCAGTCCATACTTCAGGAAATAAAGCCCAACTGCTCATTGGAGGGAAGGATAGTAGAGGAAAGGATTGAAAAATAATTTCAAAATGCTAGGTAAAAAGCCACTAACAACCCCCAAATATAGTCAGTTACTTCTGGGAGCTTTCTAACAAGTTACAAAGCCTTTTGCAAAAGTAAGTTTCCCAGCATTGGTCATTGAAACAGTTTTAAATTAATGTTTTTAAAGTGATTGTTCATTCATTTTTAATTTTTTGTGCTATCCAGTATTTTAAATGTATTTCGTTATCATTCAAATTGGGAATCTTTGGATCCTGTTTGAGAGGAAAGCAGGATTTAAAATAAATGAATAAATATGAGACTCAAGGTGGCTCTTCATTTGTGCCTGAATGCAAGTTCTTACATTCTTGAATATAGAGATGAGTTGTTCTATGCACACCAGATGCAATCAGCCTGCCTCCACAAATATATCATTCTCTTATATGCCATGGTTTCCATGTCACCTTGAATTATTGTGGCACATGAGCTGCACTGTGTGCCGTTTTTTCAGTACCCAAATAATACTAACAACATGTTGTTCCAAAACTAAAGAGGGTACAAATGTATTAACAAGTGTTATAAAGCAAAACAGATCTTCTGCTAGAGTAGAGTGAGAAGACACATGCCAGGATTTTGATTAAAATAGTACAGGCAGCTTAGAACTCTAACTGGAGAAGTGTTACAAGGAATATTCCATATCAAAAAGTGATCAGAAGCTAATGACATTATAAGCCATGCCAGTTGCAATCACAATCAAAATATGCATTTTTTTTACTTTGCATCATTGTAGTATACAAAGCTGTTCTCAGATAGTACATTTAATGGAGGAGTATTTCAGAGCAATCTAGATGTTATAAATCAGTATTAATTTAGAAGGAATTAAGACTTTGGGTTGCTGTGAGTTTTCCAGGCTGTATGACCATGTTCCAGAAGCATTCTCTCCTGACATTTTGCCCACATCTAACCTCAGAGGTTGCCTGAAAAACTCACAGCAATCCAGTGATTCTGGCCATAAAAACCTTCGACAACAAATTAAGACTTTGTTGGCCTCCAAGGTAAAAACAGGAGTCTTTTGATCATACGATAATTTGCAGATTTTGTCTAGCAAAGCTTTTAAAACATAAAGATTAAAGAATGAATTATATGTTGGTTAAGATGACTAACTCCATATGAATTCTCAGGAGCATTACATTTACCCGAAATACAGAATATATGTTAAAGATCCCCCTCCCCTAATTCCATATCTATTATTTTCCATGAGCATCTCTCTTAGTTTGTAGATACATGTTTTACCAAAGTACATATTTGTAGCTCATTTACCTGTACCCTGTGTCACAGGTGTATGATACATTTGAAAGGTATGTTGTGTCACTCATTACATATTTTCCATTGTTTATTTTCACCGGATGGGGACATGTTACTAATTCACAAACTGGAGAGGAATTATTCCATTTGCCATTTGGAAGACACACTGCTTCTTCTTCTCCCTTCAAAATGTATCCTTTATCACACCTACATTTAGGTAAGGAAGGGAATTATAAACATGTACAAACATATGGCTCATTTGTTACAGAGAAACTATCAGCACAATCAAGTGGCCACTCATCACATGCAGTATATTTAACATTTCCTGCACCATGATTCTAACTATGCTCATGTCTACACTAATCGATAAATCCATAGCCAGTCAGGAATGGAAATGCCAGAGGCAGCCACATGGACTATCCTGAATCTGCTGTGGTGGCAGATTGGGAGACAGGAAGATCACTTTGGCCCTGCTGGATCATCACCTCACCTTCCACGTCACTGTCACTTTTCTCAGCCAGCACCACCAGGAAAAAAATGTAGGGAGATGACAAAGAGCAGTAACAAGGGTGACACTGGCACAGTCCACTTCTTCCTGTGCTGATAACCCCCGAGAAAAGTTGATGGCAGCAGAGTTCCATGTGGACAGTGGACTGGTCTGAATCAAACCAAACCCAGTTCCCACTCTGCCCCAAATTTGCGCAATACTCTGGAGTTTCCCCACCTTTTACTAAACTGGGACAAACCAGATTAAAATAATAATAAGATAAATTAAGTAAAACCCATGAAACTAGGGCACCATAGACACTGCCATATAATGCTACTTGAAACTGCATTATATGGACAGAGCAGATACATGTAATGCAGTTCAAAGCAGTCAAACTGCAATATGTATGTCCTCCCTGACCATCTAATGCCATTTGGAACTGCATTATATGGGCAGTGTAGATGGGTCCTCAGCTAAAGCTATGTCATGAAGACAGCCAGGAGAAAATTTAGTTTGAGTCGGTGTTTTAATGCCCATGTAGAGGAGTCTCACATCACACAAAATAATCTGCAACTACCAGCTAAGGTTATAACTACCAAAACATCCCAGTTTCTTAAATTCCTGAGCCATGTGCACTTCAACATGTAGGATGAGAACACAGATTATCATCTCTCCATTGGTCATTAGTCGTCGGATTCCAATTACACAAGAAATCTAGGTTACTGTAGTTTGGAATCTAAAGAAAGAATATCCAAAATATGGTCTATTTGACAATGCTTGTTTGAGTTCATTGCTGTGGTTTTGGTTAAAAGGGTAAAGGTTTCCCCTTGACATGAAGTCTAGTTGTGTCCAACTCTGGGGGATGGGGCTCATCTCCATTTCTAAACAGAAGAGCCGGCATTGTCCATAGATGCCTCCAAGGTTGTGTGGCCAGCATGACTGCATGGAGCACTGTTATCTTCCTGCACAAGCGGTACCAATTGATCTACTCACATTTGCTAGTTTTCGAACTGCAAGGTTGGCAGAAGCTGGGGCTAACAGAGGAAGCTCACCCAGGTCAGCAAGTTCAGCAGCTCAGGGGTTTAACCCACTGCACCACCAGGGGCTCCTTTGTTTTGGTTGTCATACCATTAATTGTGTTTGGTGCATGTAGTCAGACGTATAATGTTCACCACTCTTATCAAGTACAATATTTTGTATCTTTTTATCTTATATGTTTTGTACAAAAGTAAAGGAAACTCTTCAAGATTATCTTAGTATTTCAGCGCTACAAATTATTTACAAGCCATCTAACAGAGAATGATTAAAGTATGCCAGTAGTGACTGGCAGATGAAGAATCTCATATTTTCATGACATAAAGGGATCTTGTAGCACCTTTGAGATTACATGGAAGTAAGCACTCATAGTGTAAGAACTTGTAGATTCAGTTTACTTCATCAGGTGCATTGAGTAAAGCCTCTATGGATAAGAATTCATGCCAGTGGGGATGTGGGGAGAGTGTAAATATTAACAGAATTTTCATGAATTAGCAATGTACTGCACATGATTTTCTAGCTTGTGCAAAACTCCCAGTTGTTATTATGGCATCAACATCAGATCAATCAAACCTAGTATCTCCTAGATCTTCCCACAAAAATGCAAAATGTATGAATTTACCATTTGGAACCAGGTTTCTTTCAGTAATTTTGAGAAAGTAGAGTTTAATTGTGATCTCTTCCCATTAGTGGCACATATTTTTGCCAAGCAAGACTTTCAAATGCACAATAATCTCCTACCTATAGATAACTTTGTTACCATAAGTAAAATTTGAGCCATCGACCACACCATTTTCAGGAACAGCTGGGATTCCACAGGAAATAGCTTAAAGAAAAATCAAAATGGTAAAACACTGTTCTGAGTAAGCAATTTAAAATATCACCTGCTGGTCTTGTGCAAATCTACCACCCCAGAAGAAGAAAAAGGGAAAGTGGACTAAAATTTCATATAGACTAATTGAAGGCCAAAGACATTCTAGTTCTTCAAGTGTCATGGCATGGCAAAAGGGAAAGGAGACCTCAATAAGGAACAGAAAGCTTAGGATTATGGGTGGAAGTGCAAAAGGATGCTAGATATTGCCATTGAGCTCTCAAGAAAAACAGCAACAAAGATATCTACTGTAATCCTTATCCTCTCACAGAATCCCTCTGGATAGTTAAACCAGGAAATCCCACTTGGATGGCCCCCAACGAGGGTCTGTCTCCAGGGGCAAACCAAGAATGGGCAACTTGGAAGTCCCTGAACAGATGCAGAAGTGGAGTGGGCAGATCAAAAGACAACCTGGCAAAATGGCACTACCGAAAAGAATCCTCCACCTTGTGCAACTGTGTGTGGAGCAGAAAAACAACTCCACATCTTGTCCACAATGCCCTGCCTCATGAAAAAAGGAAGAATTGTTTAAAGCTACAGACAATACTATCGCTGTTGCCCGTTTTTGGTCGAAAAGTATTTAGCCGCTTGTGCTCCTTCTATTTTTTATCAGTTTTATACTTATTTATGCAATGCATTTGATATGAAATAAAAATCCTCTCACAATTCATGGATAACCTCTTTATCCATGAATTGGATATCCATGGTTTCACTTACCCATGCTCTAAATATATTATCTCCTAGAAGGAGCCTCTCCAGGTTCCCTAGTGTAATTCCATGGCATGCTTTCGGCCCAAGTATAATAAAAAATGTAGGGTTTGTTATCCACTTAGAGGAAAGATATTGGAGCATTTGCTCACAAATCAGGGGGTTGTACTGTATATTACAGGCTCACTTCCCTCTAACTTTCTGTGATTTGTGTAAAGAATTCAGGGCATTATAATCTGGAGAAAGCATGGAGAATTCATGCACCACAGTTGCCAGGCTCCTTTGTGATGAGTAATATTGTTTGATTGATAAGGGCAAAATCTGGGTATGACCCTAACCAAATAGTGCCAGTGGCAGACAGACTAGCAACGTTATATCCTCAGGTTATCAAGACAAAACTGGCATCTATGGATGGATGTTTATGAATGCCTCATCACCATCATTCCTCAACCCTCCATATTCAATGGGGTCAGGGGTGCAGAACCCGCTGCCCAGCAAAAGTGGAAAAACACAGAAATCAAAGCTATTTGTGTACCTCAGAGAGCACCTCTCAAGGAAGCACAACTCTGTGGTCAACGTCAAATGAACACTGATCACAAAGTCACATTGGTGGACCTAAAGATTCTTAGAGACCATATTAATCAAATTTACCAGTGTAAAATCTGCAAATATGGACAGCTCATTGGAATTATCGTTGTCATCATCAAAAACATCATCATCATCATCAAGTTTTTCCTGGCCACTAGAATTAAACATTTTAAACATCTAGAAAGCAACTACAAGCATCCATAAAGCAATACCTTCACAGTATGGTATCAAATGATTCCATTCTCCAGACTCCAAACATGTAACTGTAGTCACTCCTTTCAGCTGGTAGCCCATGTCACATGAGAAACTGATTTCACTTCCAACACTGGAACTGGCTCCATGTGAATGGCCATGCTCAGGATCTCCTGGATGTTTGCATTTTACTGGTTCTTTAGAATCAGATACAAGGTAAAACAGAGCTTACTGACATCAGCTGTGGCTCATGTGCTTAAAAATGAAAACAAATCATGCAACATTTAAGCAGATAATGTGGGAAGAGAAAACGGCCCAGTTATAAGAGCAATTCAAAGAATAGTTCCATTCACATTCCCTTTACAGAGACTTCCACAATCCTGCAATAACAACATCTTGCACTCAGTGTTAGTTTACATGGTATGTTAAATACAAGTAGCATATTTTATCCCACCCTCTTTTTTCCTTTAAAATAAGAGCACACAGCTTTTATCTGACTTGGGACCATTATATGCAGGTATGGGAGACTTAAACCGTTCTCCATTTAATTCTTATTTTAAAATCCCACTGAAAGGAAAGAAAAAGTTAATAGTGCAAATAGGGAGAAACAATTACAACCAGCTGAGGGAAGCATAAATCATCTTCAACTATGCTGGATACATATTGGGTCAGCACACTTGCTGTAGCGTTTATAAAAATATTAAATGGTAGGTAAAGGTTTCCCCTTACATTAAGTCTAGTCACGTCCAACTCTGTGGGGTGGTGCTCATCTCCATTTCTAAGCCGAAGAGCCGGTGTTGTCCATAGATACCTCCTAAGGAGGTTTATTGGTTCCTTGAGCATGAGCTCAGCAGTTGCCTTCTGGGATCCCCTCAAAGGTTTGGGGTGTGGCCGGTAAGAGCAGGTCTGGCTTCATACCCCTTAGTGTGTAGTGTAAGGCTATGCTTGGGCTTTATACCCATGTGATATATGTGGCAGGAGAATCATAGAATCAAAGAATCATAGAATCAAAGAGTTGGAAGAGACCTCATGGGCCATCCAGTCCAACCCCCTGTCAAGAAGCAGGAATATTGCATTCAAATCACCCCTGACAAATGGCCATCCAGCCTCTGCTTAAAAGCTTCCAAAGAAGGAGCCTCCACCACACTCCGGGGCAGAGAGTTCCACTGCTGAACGGCTCTCACAGTCAGGAAGTTCTTCCTAATGTTCAGATGGAATCTCCTCTCTTGTAGTTTGAAGCCATTGTTCCGCGTCCTAGTCTCCAAGGAAGCAGAAAACAAGCTTGCTCCCTCCTCCCTGTGGCTTCCTCTCACATATTTATACATGGCTATCATATCTCCTCTCAGCCTTCTCTTCTTCAGGCTAAACATGCCCAGTTCCCTAAGCCGCTCCTCATAGGGCTTGTTCTCCAGACCCTTGATCATTCTGCCATGAAGGCAGAATCCTCTAGGGGCCACAAAAATAAAATACAATAATTGGATTCACATATCACTTCACTTAGGCGATCCCTCGTTGGACGAGTAAGATGGTCTTCCATTATGGATTTCCTTGTGGGT